CGGTCGGTTGATTTTGTAATCACTCGTATGATTATGGCATTAATAGCACTCCTATTCGTTCTATTACCATCATTAATTGTACTGCAGTACAATTAATGATTTTCCCAAAACAAACAAAATGGCGGAAAGGTATTTTAAACACCTTTTTATCGATACCCTCTGCAGCGGAATAAATTACGTGCAGTCATATAATATATATATGTAATGTGTATGCAATCTGTTGTTACAACATCATCACAACTTCATCTCTGAAAATCCATATCTTAGCCAAATTGTACAACTTTATCGCCGAAAGTTAGGAGCCTCGATTTTTCCGAAGATCATAAAAAACAAAGTGCCCGAGGTGAAAGCGCGATACCTCAGTTCTATAAAACTTTGCGTACATCTTCAGAAAGTTAGGTATATAACAAAAAATATGGATTTTAATGAATAATTGCACTGTTTTTATTGCTTATTTGTATTAGCCCCGGCCCAGTATCTGCAGACTGCAGTCATTGTTTTATTATAGTATGCTTTGAAAATATTTTGACAGTAAAAATGAGACGTACCGTCTTTGATTTTGGTTAGTTATCGTTTCAGCCCGTGTAGATGTCAACTTTCACATGGCCATGTGGCAGCACTAGCCCTTGCGACAGTAACATCTAGTATCAAAACCCTTGATCTTTCAAAATTGTTGTCAAGTTTGATATGATTTTAATATATTCAAAATGCAGCGTGGCTAGAATTTCACAAATTTATTCTGTTTTTATTTCACAAATTTATTCCCGTATACTAGTTCTACTGCCTGTATAAGTAATACAAAATAATAAGACAATATATATTTTATTTTTAGATCTTAAATGCAGTCTCAACTACAAGCTAACATTCAGCTACAATTCTACTGATCGATTTATTAGTTGTGACGTTTAGTTGTGACGTTTAGTGATTATAAACTAATAATTACGTACAGCTAAAATATGGGGAAATTTACGCAAACAGTAAGAAAAAAACTAAACGAGTGATGTTACCGCAACGCGAAAGATACTGAATAATATAATGTCCGGAAATTTTTTAACGTTTAAGCGCGTTATGTTAATTAGCGGAAATTTTGTTTTAAATTCATTAATATGCAGTGAAGATGACTCGGCAAATTATCACTTACACCCCCCGCCCCCATTAAAATAGGTCTATCCGATTCAAAAATTGAATAGAAACAAATTGAATTTGCTGTATTTCGATTTTACAACAACGCCAAATCGCAATCATGGCTAAAATTTGTTATATTTGCTCGTTTTATTCCGTTCGTCGGCCTCGCTATTGCTGGAGACATTTCGTTCTCCTCTACCTATTATTTCCTGCAGCAATTAATATCTGAAAGAATTGGCCGGAAGAAACAGCGCTGGATTTCGTGGATGAAATGACCTCAAGAACCGTCGACGAGACACAACTATCGAGCAATGAAAATGACTATATACTGTCAGTTAGGAGGATCATTTGATCGGAGAAAACTGCTATATTGAATGACGAAAATTACTATATAGAGTCAGTGTGGTCAGTTTGGTGAAATAAAAGGTCTTTTATAATTTTTATTATTCGTTGCGTCGTTAAGTATTGTCTTACTGAGTAGTGGAAATGACGGGAAAAGACTTGATCAAATACTCGAATTTTGCCTTCTGCATTCGGCTATAGTTTTGCATTTGATTTTTGCCCTTGGTACAAATAATTGTATTAACAACATTATCAGCCAATGTTCAGTTGAATGATTTTGATCGTACAGACTACAGCTATGATTTGTATACATTTAAACACACACCTTATTAAATTTCCAATTTAGGAATTGAGCAATACGGGCCAGAGCAAACAAATACGTCAATATGAAACCACAAAGTACTAAAAATCAATGAAAAACATTGCTTAAAACTTACCGACCATGAATTGATCTTATTTCTTGACATTCGCGAACTACATGCACATTTCTTTGCTTTGTGCATTCTTAATTAGCTTTAATATGCTGGAAGGCTGGTTGTCTTGCATTTCCGTACTGTTTGTAGACTTTCAGGAGAACAGCGACCCTCAAAATTGAGTTTACTCCAAACTCACAGTAAAACTACATGCAAATTTCTTGAATCTTGGCAAGCTTCGTCTTCGACTGGTAAATGACTATGAATATTTTACAATCAACGAGTTACTAAATTAATGAAAAACGCACGAGAACTTTCTTTCGTCTAGATTTAATTACATTTATTAACTCCCCGATGCTGAGCACTTTTGTTTAACAAAAAGCATTAATTATTATACAGGGTGTCTCAAAAAAACCCAAAATCATTGAAATAACGTATTGTTCGAATTTCAATGCCGTAACACAAAGGATTTTGACAGGGTGATTAATTTGTTTTAAAAAATTAAAATATCTTTGTAAAG